ATTATCCAACAGTTTTACAACCCACTCTGTGACTGTTGTTCCAACCCCCAGTCTTTGCTTTTGCTCTGTCTTATCTCTAGTCTAATCTTAGTTTTATAACCATTGCTGTGTACATTTGTTTGTGTTTGTTTTTTTTTTGTTTTCTTTTCTTCCCCCCTCAGAGATTGTTTCTTTTAACATTCTGCTAAAACTTTGTGAAGTAGTACTGCCTGGACCTTGAAGAAGGGGACATACCCTGAAAGCTTGTCCTGAAAATTGTATGTTAGTGCAAATAAAAAAAGTATCACGGACAGTACTCAATTATTAGGGGGAGAAATAGCTGGGGTCAGTCAAAGGAATTATGCCCCACTGTTGGCGTCAGTGGCAGGAATAATGGCTCAAGGGCTAGATAAAGGTAAGCCACATCAGGCCCTGGGCCGCAGTTTGGAGACCACTGCCCCAGACTGACAATGCCACTGTCTGCTGTGCCCCTAGTGCGGCTTTATTCACAGTAGGGGCACTCTAAAACGACTTTCACACTAAGGAGTTTTTGAAGCGTTTTTTGTGTTAAAAAAAAGCGCCTGAAAAGCTCAAGAAAAAGGATTTCCTGTGTATGTGAATAGATATTTTTATTTTTTATTATTTTATTTCAGGTACTTATATGGCACCATCAATTTGCGCAGCGCTTTACATATATATATTGTACATTCACATCAGTCCCTAACACTCAAGGGGCGAACAATCTAAGGTCCCTAACTCACATTCATACATACACATACTAGGGACAATTTAGACAGGATCCAATTCACCTACCAGCATGTCTTTGGAGAGTGGGAGGAAACCCATGCAGGCACAGGGAGAGCATGCAAACTCCAGGCAGGTGGTGTCGTGGTTGGGATTCAAACCAACAACCCTAGTACTGCCAGGCAGAAGTGCTAACCATTTAGCCACTGTGTTGCCCAGCTGCCCATGATAAAAGCAGACTGAATATATATCTATGTATGTTTTCACACTGAGGCGATGTGCAGCATCTTTGGGGCATGTTTGGGGAGTTAAAAAAAAAAAAAAAGCCCCAAAAAGGTTTCTATTTAAATCAATGTAAAATGCCTGAAAAGCGCTTTAAAACACCTCTCAGAAGCGTTTTTGGTGCAGTTTTAAGTCATATGTGTCCTTAAAAACACCCAGAAAGCGCAGCAGAAGCACGGTAAAAACGCCTATGCGTTTTAGTGGCAGATCAGTGTGAAACTAGCCTGAGGCTACTTTCACACTGAGGAGTTTTTGAAGCATTTTTGTGTTAAAAAAAGCACCTGAAGAGCTCAAGAAAACTGCTTCCCTATGTATGTGAATGTATATCTATGTACAGTATCTCACAGTAGTGAGTACACCCCTCACATTTTTGTAAATATATGATTCTATCTTTTCATGTGACAACACTGAAGAAATGACACTTTGCTACAATGTAATGTACTGAGTGTACAGCTTGTATAACAGTGTAAATTTGCTGTCCCCTCAAAATAATTCAACACACAGCTATTAATGTCTAAACTGCTGGCAACAAAAGTGAGTACACCCCTAAGTGATAATGTCCAAATTGGGCCCAATGAGCCATTTTCCCTCCCCGGTGTCATGTGACTCGTTAGTGTTACAAGGTCTCAGGTGTGAATGGGGAGCAGGTCCGTTAAATTTGGTGTTATCACTCTCACTCTCTCATACTGGTCACAGGTAGTTCAACATGGCACCTCATGGCAAAGAACTCTCTGAGGATCTGAAAAAAAGAATTGTTGCTCTACATAAAGATGGCCTAGGCTATATTAAGATTGCCAAGACCCTGAAACTGAGCTGCAGCACGATGGCCAAGACCATACAGCAGTTTAGGAATGACACTTTGCTACAATGTGATGTACTGAGTGTACAGCTTGTATAACAGTGTAAAATTTGCTGTCCTCTCAAAATAACTCAACACACAGCCATTAATGTCTAAACTGCTGGCAACAAAAGCGAGTACACCCCTAAGTGACAATGTCCAAATTGGGCCCAAAGTGTCAATATTTTGTGTGGCCACCATTATTTTCCAGCACTGCCTTAACCCTCTTGGGCATGGAGTTCACCAGAACTTCACAGGTTCCCACTGGAGTCCTCTTTCACTCCTCCATGACTACATCACAGAGCTGGTGGATGTTAGAGACCTTGTGCTCCTCCACCTTCCGTTTGAGGATGCCCCACAGATGCTCAATAGGATTTAGGTCTGGAGACATGCCTGGCCAGTCCATCACCTTTACCCTCAGCTACTTTAGCAAGGCAGTGGTCGTCTTGGAGGTGTGTTTGGGGTCGTTATGTTCGAATACTGCCCTGCGGCCCAGTCTCCGAAGGGAGGGGATCATGCTCTGCTTCCAGTGTGTCACTGTACATGTTGGCATTCATGGTTCCCTCAATGAACTGTAGCTCCCCAGTGCCGGCAGCACTCATTCAGCCCCAGACCATGACACTCCCACCACCATGCTTGACTGTAGGCAAGTAACATTTGTCTTTGTACTCCTCACCAGGTTGCCGCCACACACGCTTGACACCATCTGAATCAAATAAGATTATCGTGGTCTCATCAGACCACAGGACATAGTTCCAGTAATCCATGTCTTAATGCCGGCCATAGATGGGTTGAAAATCGGCCAAAGAAAAAAAAAAAAAAAAAAAAAAAATCGTCCGATTTTCGCACTGTTGGTGGGTTAATTGGTCAGCTGTTTTTTGGGTTTTCTGCACATTTTTTTTTTATCGGTCATGTTGGAAAATTTGCGGCCGATAGGAGGAGTCTGCTGATATATTTTATATGAAAAAGTCTTGTGGTTGCAACAAATGTATCCAGATAAAAACATAATGTATTTGTATTGCTGTCACATTGTATGGTGCTCCCCTGTCTCTGTCAAACTGGTTTCTTGTCCCATTCTTTCGTGAGCATTGGTGGCAGCATCGGCAATGGCACCGACCGATTTTTCTTTTATTGGCCGACAATTCGGCTGTTAAACGGCGCGTCTATGACCTGCATTAGTCTGCTTGTCTTCAGGAAACTGCGGGCTTTCTTGCGCATCATCTTTAGAAGAGGCTTCCTTCTGGGACGACAGCCATGCAGACCAATTTGATGCAGTGTGTGGCGTATGGTCTGAGCACTGACAGGCTGACCCCCCACCCCTTCAACTCTTCAGCAATGCTGGCAGCACTCATACGTCTATTTCCCAAAGACAACCTCTGAATATGACGCTGAGCACGTGCACTCAACTGCTTTGGACGACTATGGCGAGGCCTGTTCTGAGTGGAACCTGTCCTGTTAAACCGCTGTATGGTCTTGGCCACCGTGCTGCAGCTCAGTTTTAGGGTCTTGGCAATCTTATTATAGCCTAGGCCATCTTTATGTAGAGCAACCATTCTTTTTTTCAGATCCTCAGAGAGTTCTTTGCCGTGAGGTGCCATGTTGAACTTCCAGTGACCAGTATGAGAGAGTGATAATACCAAATTTAACTGACCTGCTCCTCATTCACACCTGAGACCTTCTAACACTAGCGAGTCACATGATGACTAATTGGGCCCAATTTGGACATGATCACTTAGGGGTGTGCTCACTTTTGTTGCCAGCGGTTAAAACATTAATGGCTGTGTGTTGAGTTATTTTGAGGGGAAAGCAAATTTACACTGTTATACAAGCTGTACACTCACTATGTCACATTGTAGCAAAGTGTCATTTCTCCAGTGTTGTCACATGAAAAGATAGAATCAAATATTTACAAAAATGTGAGGGGTGTACTCACTTCTGGGAGATACTGTATGTTTTCACACTGAGGCGTTGCACTTGTGGTGCGATGTAAAAACTCCTGCTTGCAGCATCTTTGGGGCATGTTTGGGGAGTTAAAAAGACGCCTCATCCCATTGAAATCAATGCATGAAAAATGCCTGAAAAGCTCTTCAAAAATGCCACTGAGAAGCTTTTTTGGTGCAGTTTTTAAGTTGTGTATCCTTTAAAAACGCTCAGAAAGCACACCAAAAACACCTATGCATTTTGCGGCAGACCAGTGTGAAAGTAGCCTAATACAGGAGGTGTTTTTACTGCACTTTTGCAGCACTGAGCATTTTTAAAGGACACGTGTCTTAAACACTTGAAAAAGGGAAAATGTCACCAGCACACCGAGGATCACCAATATAGGTCCAAAAGGTTTTAATGAATGATCACATAGTTATAGCAAGGCAACGTGTCGGGAGTCTCGCAGGACCTGTGACATGCCTGATGAAGGGGTCCTGCGAGACTCCAAAACGTTGCCTTGCTGTAACTATGTGATCGTTCATTAAAACCTTTTGGACCCATATTGGTGATCCTCGGTGTGCTGGTGACAATGTCCATTGCTGATTTTGTTTGGTTTCAGCCGACAGTCGCTGCAGCACCCACTTATACACACAGACATTTTTAACGCAGGAAAGTGTGCATATGGATTGTACACTTGCATTAAAAATTAAAAAAAAGGCTTCTCAGAGGTATTTTTGAAGCACTTTCCAGGCATTTTTCATTGATTTCAATAGGAAGGAGGTGTTTCTGGGGCATTTTTTTTTAACTCCCCAAACATGCCCCAATGATGCTGCAAGCAGTTTTTACACCGCACCACAAGCGCAACTCCTCAGTGTGAAAACATACATAGATATACATTCTTATACACAGGAACACTTTATTTACCCACCTCCTGCCCACCATATAGTAATATGATGGGCGCAAGGTGATTCTCTCGTTCTGGGAGGACGTCATATGACGTCCTCCCATTCTCACTGCGCATGCGCGGCTCAGGGAGCACGCAGCGCGGCAATCGGACACAGCGGATCACTGGTCACGGAAAGAGCCGAAGATGTTGGCCCGGTCATGTGATCAGCTGTATCCAATCACAGCTGATCACATGTAAACAGGGAAATACCGGTTATCGGCATTTCTCTCCTCTCGAGCTGTCACGCTGACAGAGAGGAGAGCTGGTAATTGGCTTTCTGCAGAGGGGACATGTACACTGATCATCAGGGCACTAATGATCAGTGTGGCCCCAGCCGTGCCACCTGTCAGTGTCCATCAGTGCCTCGTGTCAGTGCCACATATCAGTGCACATCAATGCCACATATCAGTGCCCATCTGAGCTGCCTTTCAGTGTCACCCATCAGTGCCACCTATCAATGCCAATCAGTGTCACCTATCACTGCCAGTCAGTGCCACGTATCAGTGCTGCCTTTCAGTGCCCATCAGTGCCACCTATCAGTGTCCATCAGTGCAGCCCATCACTGCAGCCTCATTACCGCACATCAGTGAAGGAGAAAAATCACTTATTTACGTTACCTATAATGCTACCACCTCCCCCTCACTGTTGGGGTCCCTCAAGGCTCTGTCCTCGGGCCCCTTCTCTTCTCCATCTACACCTCCTCCCTTGGCCAACTCATACACTCTCACGGCTTCAACTACCACCTCTATGCCGACGACACACAAATCTATCTCTCAACCCCCCAGTCTCCGCCCGAATCACACACCTACGGAGCGACATATCAGACTGGATGTCGCTCCACTTCCTTAAACTGAACCTCTCCAAAACCAAGTTTCTTGTCTTCCCCTCAGCCCGGACACCACCCCCCATTGACTTCTCCGTCACATCCAACAACGCTACCATCAAACCCGCCCTGCAGGCCCGAGTACTTGGTGTCATTCTGGACTCCAACCTATCCTTTCACCCCAAGTCCAATCTTTAACAAACTCGTGCAGACTCCACCTCCGCAACATCGCCAAAATCCGCACGTTCCTAACCCCAGAAACCACTAAACAGCTCATCCACTCCCTCATCATATCACGACTCGACTACTGCAACTCCCTCCTCACTGGCCTGCCTCGCCGCTGGCTATCCCCGCTTCAGTCGATCCTGAATACGGCTGCCAGACTCATTCACCTTTCCAACCGCTCCATCTCCGCCACCCCCCTCTGCAAATCCCTCCACTGGCTTCCGACTGCACAACGGATCAAATTCAAAATCCTGACACTGACGTACAAAGCTGTCCACCATACTGCCCCGAACTACATCACTGACCTAATATCCAAGTACCGCCCAGCACGCACACTCCGCTCCTCACAAGACCTCCTTCTCTCTAGTTCCCTGCACTCCTCCTCCCATGCCCGCCTCCAGGACTTCTCCAGGGTGTCACCCATCCTCTGGAACTCCCTGCCCCAACCCATCAGATTATCACCTACTCTCCTCTCCTTTAGGCGCACCCTGAAAACCCACCTCTTCAGGGAAGCCTACCCCACCCCCTGCTAACTTGCCGACCTCCTCCACTCCTCCTACCACTCCATCCCCCACAGCTTTCTCCTCCTGTGCCACTATCCCCTCCCTCCTAGATTGTAAACTCGAAAGAGCAGGGCCCTTGATCCCCTCATGTACTGTCTCCCATTGTAATGTACAGTGCTGAGCAAACCATTGGCGCTTTATAAATACTGTATAATAATAATTTACAACATTTTATAAAAACTAAGAAACAACTTTTTTTTTCTAAATTTTCAGTGGTTTTTGGTTTAAGAAAAAATAAAAAAAGTTGATTAAATACCACAGAAATAAAACTCTATCACAAAAAAATGCTAAAAATGTCATATGGGTACAGTGTTGCATGACCGCGCAATTGTCATTCATAGTGTGAGAGCGCTGAAAGCTGGAAATTGGCCTGGGCAGGAATGGGGTATAAGTGCCCTGTAGGCTTTTAGTTAAACACAAAAACGCTTCAAAAACTCCTCAGTGTGAATGTAGCCTTACTGGCCAGGTCAGCAGGTGAAAACAAGGGAAAAGGCAAAAGAAAAGTGATGCAGCCACCACGGCAAGCGGCAACACACAGCATTTGTGGTTTTCATACAGCTTTTATAATACGAGTTCGTGTTTCTTCAGTCCTTGTGAAGTCCCTGTACACGCTCAGCATGCAGCAAGCAAAGTCCTAACAGCTCCTGGCTCTATGACTCTCCAACACGGACATGTCAGCCAGAGAATCTATCCACCAACATTACTCCCCGCACACAGCTCCCGTCACCTCACAGTATTTCCCTTCAGGTAGAAGTAGGACGACCTGCTGGATCAAATCCCCGCCCACTACACGGGGAAAGGAGGGGGTTTCATAGGAGACGCCACGTTCCGGGCAAGCCCCGCCCCGTGATCAGCTGACGCTGCCTGGCTTGTGTTGTGACAGGGAGGCGGCCGCGGATGAGACGGCGGAGAAGACAGGAGAGCTGGTAATGGTCTCCCGGGGACTGGGGCTGTGACCGGGACAGCCGCACGGCAGGACGCTGGCCGCTCTGTAGCTGTGGTGAAGTGTCAGTGTGGTGGAGAAGGCAGGAGAGGACAGGCCCAGGGCAGGAGGCACACTAGTGTTCATGAGCACCTCCTCCTCCTTGTGCCAGGGACTAGGCGAGCCCTATGCTGAGTACTTCCTGGCCCAGTGCCCCCCAGAGGTGTGGGATCTCTTACCTGGCTGCCCTAGGCACAGCTCTGGAAGAGTGGCGCCCCCTTTGTGCTGGCTCCTACCTCTCTACACTACCAGTAGCTCCACTCAGTGCTTGTAAGCTGCTAGAAAGTTCAGTGTCTTCTTGTCTATAAACTCTCTTCCTGTATGTGTGCAGTGTCTGGGCTGTCCATCAGTCTTCATCATCCCCTCATCTTGTTGCTTGCAGTCTTGGTTTGCCATGCTTTTCTTCTATCCTTTCTGCTTTCCTTAGAACTATTTCTAAATCATCAATGATAAAAAGCATGGCCATTTAAAGTAGAACTAAACCCGTCCATTTAAAGGGTTAGTCCATCTTTACAGAAGATCTAACACCAGGCACCCAGCCCATACCCTTGTCCCCCCTGCTGTACTTACCTTCAGGGATGCTGAGCTGTTGACGTTGATGGTGCTGACTAATCGGAATCCATCTGGTCAATCCTGGATGGACTTACGGAGACGAGTGGAGATTCCACATCCCCGGACTGCTGGAGCAGGTACAGCAGGGACTGTGGTGGTTGGAGGGTGTTTGGTGTTAATTCACCTCTTCTTCTTTTTTTTTTTTTTTTTTTTCTGTAAAAGCGAACACACACTTTAACCCCTGGTTCACACCTGTGCGGGTGGTGCCATTGTGAGAACTGCACAAATGCCTGAAGCCGCACCACCCGCACAGAGAAATGCATGACCCGCAGGCAGGTGCCATTGGTTCTAATGGCACACCGCTTGCAGTGGAAATCGCAACCGTACTGGGAACCTTTGCTCCTATGTGGACTGTGATCTCCAAAGTAGTGCGTGTCCCGAGGCACAAGAGTCCATTCAAATGAATGGGCTCTCATGCCTGTGCAAATTGCGGCCCACACAGCCGCACATATGTGAACCTGGGCTGCAGTGGTTCAAAAAACGAAGCGTTTTTTTACCTTACCCCTGGTTCACACTGAATGCAACTTTGAAATCATGTTACTTCACTTGAAGTAGTGCAGTTTCAAAGCTGCAGATCGGTGCAATTTGTACCTCTGATTTCACTGTGGCTTGCAACTTCATTTAACAGCGGTCAATGCAAGTAGCAATGAAATCGGAAAAAAGTAGTGCAGGAACTATTTTTGAAATCACGCTACTTCTTATCGTATCGTACTGATTAGGACAGTGCCATAGAAATACATCAGATATGATTGAAGGTGCAATTTGTAAATCACATTCCGCACCTAAAGTTGCATCGGTATGAACCAGGGCTAAAGCTCTATTTGTTTACAATGGACAGCTGCCAGAGAGGTAAACCACATTGGTCTCCAGCTGGCTGCGGTAGGGGGCAGTGTGGTTTGCAATTCACGGCATTACATGGCTCACTTTATTTCCCTCACTCAACTTTATTTGAAGTGTACAAAAGTTCACTTCATGTCACTGTACAACAGTGCGATCCTGTATGGCACTCTGCAATAAAATGCAGCATGTCTGCTTTTTATTGAAGCTTGCTGTAGTGCAGCTCTGGGCTGTGTTGCAGTGTAAATGGGACACTTATTTCTAGGTATCCTTGCGTTACACTGCGGTAAAATGCCAGTCACCACTCATAGTGTGAATTCACCCTAATGCATCCTGTGTGTGTCTATAGACACACGCACTCCTGACCTGGGCTGCGTGTGTCTATAGACACGCGCAGTACCGGTCAGGAGTGCACCTGCATGAGTGCCTCCTCGGCACCCAGCTTGCTATGGGGAGATTCAGAGAAGAGGTGAAGCGGACAGCGCCAGCAGACTGTACAAGAGACGTTACGAGACCGCTCTGTGCAACAACATTGCAAAGTGCAGGTATGTGTAAACCTTTTATTTTCAAGTAAAAATTAATCAGCTCTTATCAGTTTAACTCCTTTCAAAAAGTGTTGTTTATCTCAGCTGAACTGTCAAGCGATCAAATGGCTGGCATCATAGCTGATCACATGTGCAGCACTTTGGTAACTGCAGATCAAACAGAGGCCAAAATGGCAGCTTCCTTGGCTGTAAAGATTAGGAGGATTTAGTTCCACATTAAGGTCCCCATGCACATTACAATCTGATTGTACAATCAACTTTCTGGTAGTCATCAGGGCATTGAGTGAGCAAGACAAAAATGGCACATATAATTTCACTTGACCTAAGTCACAGTTGTGGCCTAAAAAATTATTTTATGGCATTTATGGTCTGTCCACATTGTAGGGGTATAAAAAAATTCTACTGATCAACCCCATTCAAACCATTATTTTTCTGCCACATCAGATCGACTTGGGTCGATTGAAATCGTAACCATCTGTTGATGATCGCTTGTCCATGACACTCGATCAATTCTTTTGGCCAATTATTCAGTTTTCTATGCCCATTGTTAGATTGACCTAAAACTATGCAATCATATAAATGAATCTGTAATCATTCCTTTTCCATTCAAACAGGCCCTGGTTCAATAGTGTTGTCCGTAGAAATGTTACTGTGTGTGGTGAGCTTTATGATATGATGCTTTGCAATGACCAGTTCTATCTAAAAGGATCATGTGCCTTTCTGAAAAGTCAGAAGCATTCCTTGTAGGTTTCCGATTTTTTCATTGCCTTGATCAGTACAGATAATATTTTTAAAAGCCAGATGTGTATTTATGCATTTATCATTTTGTTTTCATTTTGGTTCTTTTCCAGTGTTTGTATTGATTTTTTTCCCCCCGCAGTTCCTGATTTGCACCCCCATCCTAAACAACCAGCATTTCACTGCCTAGTAGTGTGTGTATATGAAAGCGATTCTTCTATTGTGCGCTGTGATTCAAGGTGCAGAGGTTACGTGTTTCTGCTCTGGAAAGGCGCCATTATTTTAAGCAGGAACCAAACTGTTCATTACGAAATTTTCCCACATACATAAGAACATTGCCTTGCTAAATCCTGCACCTCCCCACCATGGACTCAAATTCCATGGCACCTCATCGCCCAATCATACTCCCACATTCACAGGCAGCTGCCACCAACCCCCACTCTCAGACTGGAATAGCAAAAAGCTCAGAGAATAACGCAACAGACAATAATGTGTTTGCATGTCTGCTGTCTAATACATCCCATCATATTAGTAGTAGTCGCTGGTGGCAGAAAACATGGAAAAATAACCCCCTAATTCTTTCCTTTGTGTCACAGGCATTTTCTGTTCAGTGCCTTCTTACTACGCTGTACTTAATTCTAGTCAGTTCTAATTTTCCCAGTGATTATAATAAACAAAATGGAAGATGCCTTGATACCAATTATTTGTAATATAATAAAATGGTAAAGGAAACTTTCACGAATGCACAGCAGGGGCTGTGTTGTACATTCTGCATCATGCTGAAAACCTGCATCGCCGCGCTTGGTGAGCAGCCAGGGATACATCCACAAAAGATATAGCAATATTATTCTTTTGTTGTGTTAGGCTTGCGGCACTGTTGCTTGCAATGCAAGGGTTAATGCTATTATGCCTGTCTCTAGTACCTTGGATGTCAGCTCGATGGAATAATAGCATGTACTCTAGTCTGAGCCGTTGCTACTGTTGTGTCTGGTTGGTGGGGAGGGGACCTCTCTGGTCTCTCTGATGCATAAGTTTGCTTCTCCCTGCCCCCAACTCATTGTGGCTTTTTCCTGATTGTTTCAGATGTGAATTGAGATGGAAGGCTTAGGGGAGAAGAAGCCCTGGGGGAAGCTGAGCCGATTGCTTGGAGCTGAGACAGAAGCTGCTTCCGAGCTTTTCCTGTGCAAGAAGGAATGGACAATTGGAAGAAAGAAAGGTAATTCTGCAACCTATACAACATGAGGCTCGATGAATGGTGTACAAAAAAAACAAAAAAACTTTGTATATTCTTCAATAGCTCTCCGTTCAGATCTCTGGTTGTTTCCGAATAAAAATGTTTTCTTTTTTTTTTTTTTTTCTGGGGTAGCTGCTAATATGCAAACTAGCTGATCTCTCAAACTAGATAACCAGAATAAATTGTTGTCTGCTCCCTTTCCGTGCTTGCAGCGCTGTATCTGTGCTTGACAGCTGCTGTGACATGCAGAGGAGGCCTTACTCTTGGTTCCTTGAATTCCTACACATGTGTTTTGAGTGTTATCCTCACGCCCAGTGTTTTGTTGTTTGCTTTTTGTTTTGTTTTGTTTTTTTTATACAAAGGATTGCTGGTTTTCTGAACTGGCATGGGGATTATGTTGTTACCATTTGAGATGGCCTTTTTTTTTTTTTTTTTTTTTCTTCAAATAATTGACAGACTAATTTTTGAGCTTCTCAAAGCATTTTTATTTAAAAGAGAAGTGTGAGCTATGGGGAAAAAGACCCCTTATACTTGCCTAGGTGGATATAGCATAGATCCTCTGTCAGCTCTGTAGTGAGAACTGAACAATCAAACGCCAGGATTGCCTAGTTCTCCCCTCTGTTTTGAGCAGATAGCTATGACTCAGTCACCAGCTGTCTGCTATGCCCCTCCAGCGCTCACTGGAACGCTGGGCTGTGGATGGGGTGGGAGCTGGTCCAGGCTTCTGGATGGATTCTGACCATTCGGCCGAGATCTTTTCAAAGCCTGGACCGGCTCTGTGATGTTAGCCGATAGCGGGCTTCAGCCCACTGTCAGCTGAAACCGGGTCACAGGAGTGCAGAACGAAATGCACTCCTGTGACCATTAGAAGTATAGCCAAATTAGCTTTGGCTATCTTTCTAATCTAAACTTAGCCATACCATGATTTTGCTAGCCTATTTAACAGTATCTGTACATAGTCTGCTGTGGGATTTTGTTTTTTGCTCCCTTTCGCAATTCTTTAGCACTCACTCCAGGAGCAGCTGTAAAAACTAAATTTTTAAAAGTCTGTCAGGATACAATTACTCTGTCCCTTCTTTCTCAAATGGTTGGAACTATGTTTGGTTTTATTAGTTGAGCTTCAGCCAATGGGAAAAGAAGGGATAAAGAAAGTGAAAGTATGTGAAGTATATTTTTACACAAAGTATTCATACCGGTTATCTAGATATTGCTAGAGAACTGTGATAGGAAACAAGAAAGAGCTGCTGACAACAGCTTCTGTGTGTTATTTTCGATGGGACATCTACAGCTCTATGGGACAGGAGTGGAATAGTATACTTAAGCATCCCAACTGCATCTGTGAGCTTCTCATCTCTGAACCTGACAATTCAAGAGAGTTCAAATATATAAAAGTACTCTTATAGGGAAGGCAGCTAGCAAATGTACAGGGTGGTACACAAACCTTAAAATGTGCAGTGCCACAACAAATATTCATACAATCAACATATAAAGAAATGTGTCATAATAAATAATTAAATCGGCAAAACAATCGAAGTGTCCAATTAACATAATCTTAAACAGCAAAATTTTGTAGTGAAGAAATTAATGTGTATCCACCACCATGTCTGGTTTTTGATTAAATCCTGTGTATCCACGCCTCACCCTCTAGTGAACTGCGTTCTGGAGACATCTTTGTTAGAATATGTTAGGAATACAGAGCAAGAAGTTTGCTTGTCCACAGGCTTAGTTTGACAATATTTTAGAACTTTGGTGGGAAAAGTGAATAAATGCTTCCTTATATCACTTGAGCTAGGGATGCACCGATACTCAAGAAAATGCTGCCGATACTGGAAACCGATACTTTGCAGTGCAATTTGTGTCAATACAAAATGCAAATTGCACCGCAAAGAACAGCATGCGATTTGAACAGGAAAGCGATTCCTGTCCAAATCGCATGCGGTTTGCCCACTGTGTTGTGGGGAACCTCCCTGCATCGATCCCATGCTAAGAAGAGAGTGGGCTTGTGAGGATGTATACCATCCCCTTTACCTTGTAGCCCACCAAGGCATGCTTCGGAGATTTGGTCAGGTTGACCTGTGTTAGGGTAAAGATGAAATTGTAAACTCTAATCCTAAAGCGCCTCACTTTAGGACATTTCCACAATATGTGGTAGGCTGTACCTTCCTGTCTACAGCCCCTGAAACATAAATAAGACACACCCAGAAAATAGGTGGCCAATTTAGCCAGTACCATGTACCACCTTAATGGTACTTTATAATTAGCTTCAATAATTGAGGTGTTCAATAGGGACTGGGCAGCTAACTGAGCCATTAAGTGCCATTTATCCAACTCAAAAGTTACCTGAAAGTCTGTTTCCTATTTCTGCATATAACCTAGTTAATCTGAGGCACTAGTTAAAATAGCAAACATTTCTGCAATATGACCTCTGATTTTTCCAATCATAAGTTTTCCATAGAGGACATTGTTACAATGTCGGATCTGCGAACCAAAGAGTGCAAGAAGTATGTAATCTGGGCACACCTATACAATTCAGATTCAGGCATATTGTATTTCTCTATCAAAGCTTGCTTCGACATGATTCCCCTATGATCACAAAGATCGGCTATATGTATGAGACCTTTGTTGGTCCACCATTCACATACACTGGGGGTGAGGCCCAGGGTGAACTCCTTATTGCAAAGTATCAGGGCTAAGGGATGATGTGGAGATTTGAAGTTGTAAAGTTTGAAAAGTCTGTCCCAGATACTTAGCGCAAAGGAAAGGGAAAGGACACATAATCGGGGGCCGTTCCTTTTCCGGCAAACATAGGAGGTGAGAAATTGGTATAGAGGAACAGGATTCCAATTTAATCCATAGCGGGTGGGGTCTACTGCAATGGATTTTAATTAGCTGTGCCAACTCCGCAGCATAAAAATATTTAAGGAGGTCTGGAACCCCCAGTCCTGCTCTCCATTTTGGAGTATATAGTGTAAGCTTGTTCATCCTAGGCCTCTTGTCCACCAGACAAACAATAACAATTTCCTTTGAAAAGCAAGCAAATCAGACCAAAGTACAAAAGAAGTATAAAAAGCATTGGAAGTACGTTCATTTTCAGTGAGTGTAGTCTGCCAAACCACAATGGGGGGTGAAGTTGCCATGGGGAGTGCAAGGAGGGTGTTAAATTGATTCTTAAGTATGGTAGGGTGTCAGGCTGCCAATGAAATCCATATGAGGTTTTCAAGATCTCTACCGTGTGTTCCTGCAAGGATACTTTCAAAGCCTTTGACTTCTCATGGTTTATTTTTAGACCAGAAATGTGAAAAGGGCTGGAGGATGGCATACAAATTGGGGAGAGTGGTAATAGGCGACGAGCAATAACAGTAGGCAAAAAGATCATTTATGCTCTCTCCCATTTTATCCCCTTAATATCACCACAATTGCGAATTTTGATAGCTAGGGGTTCTAGAGCCAGTACAAGTAGTAACGGGGACATAGAACAGCCCTGGGGAGTCTCTCTTTTTGAATAGCAAGGGGGTGCGATACATACCCCTTTACCATCAGGAGAATTATATAAGATCTGCAGCGTGGACAGAGAATGCACACCAAAGCCGTATCAGTTGAGGGTATAGAAAAGATGATCCCAAGACAGGGAGTTGAATGCCTTGTGAATGTCTAAGGACAACAACATACCCAATCTGGTGCCCCGCCCATCCCAATTGGAGTTCATTGCCGATATAATATCAATGATCCGTTGTGTTAGGTCAGATGCTTGGCGACTGGGAACAAATCCTGATTGGTCAGGGTGGATATATTTGGCCAAAAAAGAATTCAGTCTAGTTGCAAGTACTTGGACAATATATTTAAATCTGTATTTTTCAGGGAGATGGGTCTATAAGTGGAGTGTATATAAGCCGCATTCTCTTGAGTTGGAAATAAGAACCCCGCTGGACTTCATTAAAGAAGGAACACAGGTAAGGTGTCAGGATATCTTGTTACTTCCGGTAATGATGACCGGAAAAGCCATTGGGAACAGGTGCTTTAGAGGGATGTAAGTTCATCATAGCTAATTTAATTTCCTCTTCTGAGAATTCCTTATTTATAAGCTCTGAGTGGACTTGTTTGAATTTAGGTTGGGAAATATCTTGGAAAAACAGATTCATCCTGTCCTTTTGGGAACTGTGCTGGTTGGCATATAGTGCAGTATAAGAATTCTAGAATTCCCACAGGATCAGTTCTGTATTGTGGGACACGTGCCCATTTTGTAATCTCCGTTTAGGTAAAGCAGGTGTATACACCCGTGGTACCAATTTCCTTGCTAGTAGAGTAGTGGGCTTGTCTCCCATTGTACAATATTTGTCTCGACCAGCAGATCTGTTTCTCCGCCTGAGTTGTGAGGCTTAAGTTCAGTGTCATCCTAGCTTGATCAATTTTATGTCTAATATGTTCCTGGGGGTTATGTTGTTCTGGCATCAATTTTTGTAATTCTACTTCCTGTTGTTTATTTGTGCTTTCTCAGTCCTACTTAAGCCCGGCCGCCACCTGGATAAGTTTACCTTGAATAGTAACCTTATGGGTGGCCCAATTATTAATAGGAGAGGTTTTGTGTGGTATATTTTCTCGGAAGAACAATTGCAACTCAGTCTTAACTTCTTTAAACACAATTAGATTATATAGCAAGGATCCATTCAACCTCCATGGAGAAGGTTGAGGCAAAGACCATAGCTCTGACAAAGATAGTCTTATTAACCGCTTCCATACCAGCACTTTTACCCCCTTCTTGCCCAGGCCATTTTTCAGGTTTCAGCGCTCTCACACTTTGAATGACAATTGCGCAGTCAAAAAACACTGTACCCAAACTAAAATTTTATCATTTTCTTCACACAACTAGAGCTTTCTTTTGGTGGTATTTAATCAACACTGGGGTTTTTTATTTTTTGCTAAATTAACAAAAAAAAGAGACTGAACATTTTGAAAAAAAAAACAAGTGTTTGCAAATAAATATT